TGAGGGGGAAATGGGGGAAATGTGAGGAGGAAGTGGGGGAAATGTGATGGGAAAATGGAGGGAAAACATGAGGGTGAAAAGGGCAGGGAACATGAAGGGAAATGTGAGGGGAGAAAAGGGCGGGAAATGTGAGAGGAAAATGGAGGCAAATGAGAGGGGAAAGTGGTGGGCAAAATGAGGGGAAAATGGGGGAAATGCGAGGAAAAAATAGAGGGAAATGTGAGGGGAAAATGGGGGAAAATGTGAGGGGAAAATGGAGGGAAATGTGAGGGAAGAAAATGGCAGAAACAGGAGGGGAAAATGGTGAGAAACGTGAGGGGGAAATGGTGGAAAATGTGATGGGAAAATGGTGGAAATGTGAGGGGGAAATGGAGGGAAAACTTGAGGGTAGAATGGGGGAAATATGAGGAGAAAATAGAGGGAAATGTGAGGAGAAAATTGGGGAAATACGAGGGGAGAAAATGGCGGGAAACGTGAGGGGAGAAAATGGCCGCCCCAAATCCCTTCGTGATTTCCCCCCCAAATTACATTAATTAACAACCACCACTCAATGACTCCGTTAATTGATGCTGAAAGGGAAGTTTATTCGGGGAGGGGGTTTATTTTGGGTGGGGGGTCGTGCCAGTGCCCGTGGTGATGATGAAGGTGGTGATGAAGGTGATGAAGGTGATGGCGGAAGGGGGGGCTCCATGGGGGCTCCTCCTGCGGGAATTTGGGGAATTTGGGAAGGGGTCCTGGGGGTTTTTTTGGGGAGAATCACAGAGTTTTAAAAAAGGGGTCCCTGGGTGGGTTTTTTGGGGAAAATCCTGAGGTTTTTTAAGGGGAATCCCTTGGGGTTTTGGAGCAATCCTGTTTTTTTGGGGGGGGAATTCCAAGGAGTTTTTTGGGGAAATTTTGTTGTTTTTTTGGGGAAAGGTCCCAAGGGTTTTTTGGGGGGAATCCCAGGAGGTTTTTTGGGGAAATTCTGGGGGTTTTTGGGGAAGTGTCCCAAGGGTTTTTGGGGGAAATCCCAGGGTTTCTTTGAGGGGAATTTTGGGGTTTTTTTGGGGAGGGTCCCAGGGTTTTTTGGGGGGAATCCTAAAGGTTTTTTGGGGATAATTCTGGAGATTTCTGGGGAGTGGTCCCAGGGATTTTTAGTGTGGAATCCCATGAGGTTTATTTGGGGAAATTCTGGGGGTTTTGGGGAAGGGTCCTGGGGGATTTTTGAGAGGAAAAACCCCAATTTTTTTTGGGGTGGTCCTGGGGATATTTTGGGAGGAATCCTGGGATTTTTGGCAGGTTTTGGTGGGGGTCTCACCCTCAGGCTGCCGCCCCCTCGAACTTCTTCTTGCGCCCCTCCATGCCGCTCATGGCGTCCACGTTCTTGCGCCAGTCCCCGACCTCGTAGCTCTCCTGGGACAGCGTCCCCAGTGTCCCCAAATCCCCCAAATCCACCCCCAAAAAACCCTAAAATCCCCACAAAACCCACACAAAATCCCTCCTAAAAATACCCCAAAAATCCCCAAAACACCCACAAAACACTGTGAAAAAACTCCGAAAAATAACCAGAAACCACCCCCGAAATGCCACTGAAAACACCCAGAAACACCCCCCAAAAAAACCCCAAAATCGCCACAAAGCCCTCCCAAAATCCCTCCTAATAGTAACCCCAAAAAACCCTAAAAACACCTACAAAACACTGCTAAAAACACCCCTAAAAATACCCCAAAACCACCACAAAAACACCCCAAAAACGCCCAAAAAATATCCCCAGAACACCACAAAAATATCCCAAAACCACCCACAAAAATACCCCAAAAAACAGCCCCAAAACACCAAAAAAAATCCCCCAAAGCCCCCAAAAGTGTTCACAGGTGGCTCCAGGTCCCCAGCGTCCCCAGTGTCCCTGCTGTCCCCATTATCCCCAGTGTCCCAAATCCCCACAATGTCCCCAATGTCCCCATTGTCCCAAAAACCCCGCACTGTCCCCTTGTCCTTGCTGTCCCCAGTGTCCCAAATCCCTCCAGTATCCCCACTGTCCCTTTTGTCCCCAATATCCCTATTGTCCCAAATTCCCCCAATGTCCCAAATCCCCCCACTGTCCCTGCTGTCCCCGCTGTCCCCATTGTCCCCGCTGTCCCCGATGTCCCAAATCCCCCCATTGTCCCCGCTGTCCCCATAATCCCCAATGTCCCAAATCCCCCCGCTGTCCCCGGTGTCCCCTCACCTTCTCGGCGTCGTCCTTGCGCACCTGGCGCAGCCCCGCCCGCAGGTCGGTGCCCACGCGGGGCTTTGTCCCCAGCAGCGCCGCCATCATGGCGTCGGCCGAGAGCCGCACGCGCCGCAGGTTGGGCCGCACGAAACGGCCCGCGGCCACCCGGCGCCGCAGCTCCTCCAGCTGGGGGACAGCGGGGATTGGGGACACTGGGGGCATTGG